TATCTTCTTCATCTTCTTCCTCCCCTTCATCCTCCTCCTCCTCCTCTTCTTTCTTTTTCTTGCTTTTTTCAGCCTTGCCGACTCCCTTTTTTGCTGCATCAGGTTTTCCTTTAGCCCAGTAGGCAACAATGTCCTTTTCATACTTCTCCTTAGGCTTAGCAGCCTTCTTCTCGTATGGCAGCTTGTCATCGGCTGCAGTATTTATTTATTTATTTTATTTTTTTTGCAAAACTGAGGATTGAACTCAGGCCCTTGCGCTTGCCAGTGAAGCACTTATTCCACTGAGCCATCTCTCCGGCCCCTCTACTGCAGTATTATTCCACATTTCTCCAAGTTTCTTTACAACATCACCAATGGAGAGGCCAGGATGTTTTCCTTTGATTTTTGGGCGATACTCAGAACAGAACGAGAAAACTGAAGGAGGCCTCTTTGGGCACATTGGGATCCTTGAACTTTTTTTGTTTCTCCTTCGGGAAGAATGTAAGTTTTCATTTCTCTTTCATAACAAGCCTTGTCTGCTTTTGCCATATCTTCAAATTTTCCTTTTTCTTTAGCAGTCTTGGTCTTCCACCTCTCTGAGCACTTCTTAGAAAACTCTGAGAAATTAACGGAAGCATCTGGGTGCTTCTTCTTGTGTTCCTCTCGGCAAGTTTGCACAAAGAATGCATATGATGACATCTTGCCTCTCAGCTGCTTAGGATCTCCTTTGCCCATGTTTACTTGTTTTCCTCAGTGAGGTAGAGTCACCCATTGCCTGTCCGGCTCTCACTTGCCCCGGCACTGTCTCTATCAGAACTTTTATTTTGAGAGACAGAAGAAGACGAATGAGTTGTGCAGCCCTCTTCACAGAGGGTGTTTTATAGAGCAAAATTATGAGGTGGGTACAACATGGGCTAAAACTGTAATCAATAAGATTGTAAGAATAAGAGCTGGCCTGATAGCTTAGTGAACTAAAGTGCCTGTTTAGGGTTCAGTCCCGAGTGTGCTGTGCTGGCCCCACCCCCAGGATGCACTGAGACTGCGAATGAGTCTGTGCATGCTGGTGTGAACCTGTAATCCCAGCATTTGGGAAACTGAAAACAGAATTACTACAAGTCCAATCTACATAGTTAGACCCTGTAGACCCTGTCCTAAATACAGGAAAAAAAAAAAAAAGATTATAAGAATAGCTGCTTAGGTAACATGGATCCAGTGGGGAAGCAGGTCACATAACAAGTGCACATAGAAAGAACAAAGAACTCTTCGGCAAGAGGATGGGTCCAGGGATCTTGGTCACCCACTGAGGCAGTTGATGTCTATCTAGATTTTATTGAGCCAAGTCTTACCACTTATCCTTTGGGGAAGCACATAGGCCTAGTCATTCCATCTTTATCTTGAGGGCTAGCCTCCAACTGATGTACCTTGGCTGTAGTTGAGATGTTTGTCCATCTTTTATATTGATTCCCTCAAGGGCCTAGTCCTGTCTGACTGCCTGTAATATTTCTGCCTAACCCAGCTGTCTAGAACAGAAACAGTAAATTCGTTTTCAGCTAGCTAGACTCTGCTCCATTAATTCCCTAGGAAAGGATTCCTGTAAGCTGAGAAAGGGGAATGAGAAAGAAAACCTGGGGGTACCACAGTGGACAGTGGCTACCTTTCTTGTTTCTGTTAAAAGATAACCCATCCCTAAAAACTCCAAACAGGGGCTGGAGAGATGGCTCAGTGGTCTAAAGCACCTACTTGGAACAAGCTTGGCAAAGTACAGGGACCACGGTTCGATCCCCCAGCACCACATGCCAGCCAGCTGCGCCCCCTGGTGGGCTGAGCTGGCCACACACACACACACACACACTAAATAAATGTTAAAAAAAAAAAATTAAAAAAAAAAAAAAACTCCAAACAATGGGCAAGGTGGTGCACACCTATAATCCTAGTACCCAGGAGGCAGAGATAGGCGGATCACTGTGACTTTGAGGCCAGCCTGAGCTACATAGAGAGAACTTTCTCAAAGGGGGGGGGGGCTTGAAATAATTATTTTCTCAAAGAAAGAGACCATATATACTTTCTTGGGATGCTAAGCAGTAAAGGCAGGAGGATTACCATGAGTTTGAGGCCAGCCTGGGCTCTGTAGTAAGTTCAAGGCCAGACTAGACTACAGAGTGAGATGCTGTCTCAAAAAGTAAATAAAAATAAAGTAATTAAAAATATCAACTCTGGGCTGGTGAGATGGCTCAGTGGTCTAAAGCGCCTACTTACAACAAGCTTAGCAAAGCACAGGGAACGCGGTTTAATCCTCCAGCACCACATGCCAGCCAGCCCCGCCCCCTGGTGGGCTGAGCTGGACACACACACACACAAATAAAAAATTTAAAAAATAAAAAATAAAAATATCAACTCTGTACTGATCCTGAAAAACAAAAAGGAGCCCAGGTGTGGTGGTGCACATTTGTAATCCTCACACTCGGGAGGCTGAGGCAGAGGGATTGCTGTAAGTTCAAGGATACTCTGAACTACAAAGCAAGACCCTGTCTCAAAAAGAGGAAGAGGAAGAGGAAGAAGGAAAAGAAAAAGAAAGGAAAAAAATAAAGTTTCTGTCACAATTCTACTGAATGGGCCCAAGGCTGTGAAGGCATATAGGTAAGGATAGGTAGGGCGTGTGACCAGTTCCTTTTTTTCTTTCTTTTTTTTTTTTTTTTTTTTTTTTTAGTTAAATTTACAGGTACATTTTAGATATACATAAAGATCACATCCATCATATGGAATGTGTACCTGTACATGATATACCTTGATTCTTTTTCTTCTTCTTATTCTACTACCCTCTCTTCAACCCTTTATGCCCTCATTATCTGACCCATTTCTTCCAGTGTTGCCCATTTTGTTTTACTCAGAACTGCCACGGGTTAGAACCAAATTCCTGGCTCTTTTTACATAGCCTCTTACTGTCTCCCATCTGCCAGCATCGCCTCTTTCTTACCTCCTTTTTCTTTCTCCTCCACCTGTTATTTTGGCAACCAGGAATGGTGGCTGTTACTACCTGTGTTATTTTGCTATTTGATAAAGTGGTATGGTGAAAGCAGAAGTTTGAGCCTTCACCTGAGGTCATTTTTTACAAGTACTGAATCCTTATTTAGATCTGGTCTGCTGTAGAGGAGCTATTATGAAAGGAGGGTGACTGGAAGAACTGAAGTTATGCGTCTCTCCTGTCAGAAGACAGTTCATACCTTTCAGTGCCACAGTGTGCTGCCTCCCTTACTTTGAGGACACTGTGTTACCTTGCATTTTTGCAGCTCTTTAGTTTTGGTGTTTGTTTTTTTTCAGTACTGGGGATTGAACCTAGAGCATCACACGTGCTAGGCAAGGACTTCACCACTGAGCTACATTTCTAGGTCTGCTCTTTCTTCAGCTTTTGCATGGACAGTAGATAGGGAAGCCCTTCAGTCTTTCTGTGCCTATGTACACTGGTGACCTCTGCAAAAGCTGGATGGATCTTGGAGGGGGGCCAGAGATCTTCTACTCTGAATCTGCTTACATGAACCCACATCTCAGAGTCCACAAATCTGAGAGAGAACAGTGAAGAGAAATCTTGTAGCTCAGTGAGTGTTTCACAGGCGCCTTGTATTGCCTAGCTGAACAGTCAGAAAGTAGGTTAGAACTGGTGGGGGTGGTAGAGGGGCAGCAGGCAACGGGAAGAAGTAGACCAGTTACATAAATGCAGGGAGATAACACCAGGCCTGAAACTGTAGTCCTTTGGAGGCTCAGTGTCCATTTCCTACAGAGACACAATTGGAGTCACAGTCTGGAGGTAAGTGTGGGAGCCAGTAAAGGATTTTTTAGAGGATGCTACTAAAGGCAGGCAGGGAGCAGAGAGCTGAAGGTGCCTTGGGGGTGGGATTGAGGAACGTTCGAGATTTCCCACAGAAGCAGGGTACAAAATAGGAGTTTGTGTGTATCAGTACTATCAAGAGCCACTTCTGAGACATCCGGGATTCTTTTTTTAATTTTTTTATTTAGGATTCTGAATCTGTGCCTACTTGGTTATGCAGCAGGGTTTAGGAGTCTGAATGAAAAAAGGACACTTTCAGAAAAGTAGTGGTTCTTCTGGGAGAGTAATGGAGAGTTAATTAGTTCCTATGACTCCTTCCTCCCCATTCTGCAGCCACTGATTTCTACTCAGATTACCAAGGTTTAAGAGTAACTTTGGGGAGGAAAGTAAAGAAACATCAAGTCCATATCCCTGATGCCTCAGAAGCCCTAGGGCTTCTAGGACACATCAGGTCCTAAGTGTAATCGTTGTGTGGTTGGGGCTGGACTCTCTTAATTCCTGTGGTTCAAAGTCAGAGCTGTCACTGGGTGAACTAAAGCCACAGGTGGAAGGCACTGGGTGTGACTATTTTGAGAGAGAGGCCCTCTCTGCCTCCCTCCCCAAGGCTGCAGAGCTCCCAATGGGTAAAAGTTTTAGAGTTTATATCCTTTTCTAGCAACCATTCTTCCTACAAAAGTGGTTGCTTTCACTCTGAAACAGGCTGTTTCTACAGGTTCAGATCCAGGTTAGCATATGGAATGTGTTTAATTTGTAGGCTGGAATCTCTTTAATTTTACAGATAGAAACCTGGGCAGGTGGGTTGTTGCTAGATGGCAGAGTACTTGCTTAGCATGCATGTGGCCCTTTGAGTCAATCCCCAGCACTGCAAAAATATAAATAAATAGTTTTCCCTGGCATTGGGAGCAGCACTTTCAGTTCTGACTCAAGGGAAGCACTTGAGGATCTAGCTCGAAATACTCAGAGCAGAGCCAGGAATGGTAGCACAGGTCTGTAATCCCAGCACTCTGGAAGTTGAGGCAGGAGGATCCTTGTGAGTGCAAGGCCAGCCTGAATTGCATAGTAAGATCTTGTCTCAAAAAAGAGAGGGAGAGATTGTTTTTAAAAAAAAAGAAAGAAGGAAAACAGCATTTGCACCTTGTTTCATTCCTCTCTCCTTTCCCAAAGAGGGTCTTACATTCGTCTTTCCCTGTCTCTGCAGGCCTCATCGTTTTGTCTTGACTGTCTCTATCTTCCTTCTCTGCTGGCTGGTCCTCCGGTGTATGGACTTGTACATGATGAACTGTGAACTTCTAGCCACTTGTAGTGCCCTTGGGTACTTGGAAGGAGACACTTACCACAAGGAACCAGATTGTTTAGGTGAGTACTTTTTGAAGAATCCGGTAAAAACCTTGGTGGAATTGAAGCAGTCAGATTTCTCAGACCCTAGGATAGAAAGCATGTGAGCGCGAGTGAAGCATCTTCCATGATTTCATGTATATATTTTGTTCTTTCTCTGAAGAGAGTGTGAAGGATTTGATCCGCTACTTGAGGCACGAGGATGAGACTCGGGATGTGCGGCAGCAGCTGGGGGCAGCCCAGATCCTGCAGAGTGACCTTCTGCCCATCCTTACCCAGCACCGGCAGGACAAGCCTCTCTTTGATGCTGTCATCAGGTTCATTCCCCAGCTGTTTTATTTTACCACACGCTGGCATTTGTGTTTGTGCTGGTAGGTTTGGTGTTTGTACCTGATGAGGAAACCTACCAGCTTCTCCTTCCTTCATTGTTTCCCCCAGACTGATGGTGAATCTGACCCAACCAGCCTTGCTGTGTTTTGGCAATGTACCTAAGGAACCCAGCATGCGGCACCACTTTCTACAGGTGCTCACTTACCTGCAGGCCTACAAGGAGGTAAGGTCTTTCTCTTGAGGCCCTGGAGCAGAGTTTGTGGCAGTGAGGAGAAATTAATAGATGCTACGTAAGAGCCATTTCCTGTTTCACAGGCCTTCGCCAGTGAGAAGACTTTTGGGGTCCTCAGTGAAACCTTGTATGAGCTGCTGCAGCTGGTGAGTCTCAACCCATAGGATCCTGTGGTGCAGGTAATGCTATGCACCTGTCCTGACCTGAGGCAGAGGTGCTGAGTCCAAAGATGCAGTCCAGGCCTAGAGATATGGTGCTCCAGGCTATAGTCTCGGGGCCTCAGGAATACTTGGACTCATCCTTTTAATTATGATTCTCTTCTGCCCCTCAGCCTTCCAGCCTGAGTAGGTGCTGCCTATCTTCCATTAGGACTCTCTCCCTCTGATTCTGCTCTTTCTGACCAGGGCTGGGAAGAACGGCAGGAGGAAGACAACCTGCTGATTGAGCGGATCCTGCTGCTGGTCAGAAACATTCTCCATGTTCCAGCCGACCTGGACCAGGAGAAGGTATGGTCTGGAGTCATCTGAGTTCTTCTGTTGAGTAAGGTTAAATTGTCCCTTTTCTTTTTCTCTCTCTTTCCCTCCCTCCCTCCCTCCCTTCCTTTCCCTTCCTCTCCCTCCCTCCCTCTCATTCTTTTTTCTTTTTAGGTTAGGAGCAGGATGGCTTTGAACTGAACTTCCTATGTAGCCCAGGCTGGCCTGCAACTTGCATTGGTCCTCCTTCCTCAGCCTCTCCAGTGCTGGGGTATAGTCATGTGCCACTGTGCCCTGATGAACTGTCCTTGTTAGGCTTTGCTGTCTTGTGACCAGTCTGGGGCAAGAGCCTTCACTGAGGGGTGAGCAGAGAGCTTCAAAGCAGGGCTGTGGGACTAAGTATGCTCCTTTTCTCCCCTCACTGCTCTTGCTCAGAGCATCGATGATGACGCCAGTGTCCACGACCAGCTTCTCTGGGCAGTTCACCTCAGTGGCCTGGATGACCTACTCCTCTTCCTGGCCAGCTCTCCTAATGAGCAGCAGTGGAGCCTACATGTGCTAGAAATTATCTCTCTTATGTTTCGTGACCAGGTGAGACCCCATCCTTCTGTCCATGTACTTTTCTTGGTCTTATAACAGTTTCTGGCTTACCGGCAGGAGGCAGGTGACAAGTAGAGAGTCCTTGCGTTCAGTATAGGGTCCCTTCAAAGTCTTATTTTGTTCACTTTCTATCCCCAGTAGGAGGAATGACTGTCCTTCTGACTCTCCCCTCCTTATTCCAAATCTAGACCCCTGAGCAGCTGGCAAGAGTAGGGCAGGGGCGCTTAGCTCAGGAGCGGAATGCGGATGTGGCAGAACTGGAGCTGCTGCGCCAGCGAGAAATGGCAGAGAAGAAGGCGCGAGCCCTCCAGCGAGGCAACAGGTGTGTGGCAGGGCATGTGCTGCCTGTGCCCTTCCCGCAGCAGGGAGCGCACTTGGGGCAAATCTACGACAGTGGAGATTGGGTAACATTTTAGATCTTGAGCTCTTTCAGAGTTCCTGGGGGATAGAATGGGTTAAAGCTTCCAGCTCCTTGAGGAAGCACTTGTGGACTTTTTTCCTCTGCAGGCATTCTCAATTTGGGGGCTCCTACATTGTCCAGGGGTTGAAATCCATAGGGGAAAGGGATCTCATCTTTCACAAAGGCCTTCACAATGTGAGTATTTGCATATCTGGGATAGAAACACTGGAACTACAGTGCCTGAGAAGGATCATTACCTTCCCTGGGATCAAAGTATCTCTTGTTTTATTTATCTGTTTGTTTGTTTATTTATGAGACAGAGTCTTGCTATGTAGTGTAAGCTGGCCTTGAACTCACAGGGATCCTAATGCCTCAGCCTCCCAAGTGCTAGGATTCCAAGTATGCACCACCCTGCCCTGTAGCATGTTTGTCCTTGGGTTTAGAAGGTTGGTAATGGCAGTAACAAGAAGCAGTGCTAGCACTGTCTCCATTCATGTCTTTACTTAGTACCTGAGGCAGAGAACTGAGAATTCCTTCTGAGAAAATTATAATGCCGGGTTGTGGCAGGAGCCACAGGAGGGTGAATGGTAGTCAGGACCAATTCTAATCCCCCAACCTGCACTCTCAGCTCCAAAACTACAGTTCAGATCTTGGCAAGCAGCCCCGCAGGGTGCCCAAGCGCCGCCAGGCTGCCCAGGAGCTGTGCACACAGCGCCGCTCAGCCCTCAATGTGAGGCTTTTCCTCAGAGATTTCTGCTCTGAGTTCCTGGAGAACTGTTACAACCGGCTCATGGGTGCAGTGAAGGTGAGAACTGGGGAAGACGTGGAGGCAGTTGGGGATGGCATAGAGAGGTGACCAGAGAAGGGGCAGGCCATTGGTTGGGAAAAAGAGCAACCTGAAGCCTGGAGTGTGAGCAAGGAAGCAATAGGACCCCGGGAGAGACGGTGAGGAGGCTAAGGAGAGGGTGGGCAATTAGGGGAAAGAGTGCCAGAGAAGTTACCTCAGAGGAGAGGGAGGGGATATGGAGAGACCTAAGGACAGCAAGAGAAAATTAAGAGTTTTGGGTCCTACAGAGTTAGTATAGTGATCTCTAGACTACTCCCCATCATCACAGAAGGGAGGACAGGCAGAAGTTTGGAGCTCTCAGGTCATGGTAGTCTCTGTTTTGTTTTTGGACATTAGGATCATCTGCTTCGTGAGAAAGCTCAGCAACATGATGAGACCTACTATATGTGGGCCTTGGCTTTCTTCATGGCTTTCAATCGAGCTGCCTCCTTCCGGCCGGCCTTGGTTTCTGAGACGCTCAGTGTCCGCTCCTTCCACTTCATTGAGAAGAACCTCACCAACTACTATGAGATGATGCTGACAGATCGCAAGGAAGCCAGATCCTGGGCATGCCGGTGAGGAGGATATGCAGTGGGTGTCCTGGCCAGGCTGGGAGTCCAGATGCCTGCATTTTGGGTGGTACTTAATTCAAGATTGAAGCAGGCTGGGAACTAAGGATTGGCAGGGTCATTTGTGTCTGGTGGCACTTTTTGAGGAGTGCTGTTTCCATGAGCCAGTGCCCTAAACTATCCCCCATTTCACTTCTGGCTTTAATTCATAGGATGCACCTAGCTCTGAAGGCCTATCAGGAGCTACTGGCTACAGTGAACGAGATGGACCTGTCCCCAGATGAGGCTGTGCGGGAGAGCAGCCGCATCATCAAAAGTGAGGCCTGGCTCAGTCCTGACCCAGCCTTCCCACCTCTACTAGAGTCTGGTTCTTCTTGTCCCCAGTTTCAGTCAGTTCCCCTTTTCGCACAAGTTTTTCAGACAACTCTTTCCATTCCTTTTTTTTTCCTCTTCTTAGACAACATTTTCTATATGATGGAGTACCGAGAACTCTTCTTGACACTCTTCCGGAAGTTTGACGAGAGATGCCAGCCTCGCTCTTTCCTCCGTGACCTGGTGGAAACAACCCACCTCTTCCTCAAGATGCTGGAGCGATTCTGTCGGAGCCGTGGGAACCTGATGGTCCAGGTACTGTGCAGTCCCAGGATGTTGAAAGTGCTGTTGGGTGAAGGGCAGAAGGCTCTCTCCTCCCATACCCTGAAGTTTAAGCTGATCTGTTAGAACTACTCTGCACTAAGAGGGCAAGTGGCTTGTGTTGTCATTGGTATGAGTATGCCATTTTCCTTCTCCCATTAGGTTCACCCCTGATTTACCATAAATATCTTCACTCATTCAGGAAACATTTATTGAATACCTACTATCTGCTAAGCACATAAATTTTTTTTAATTAATTTATTTATTTGTGTGTGTGTGTGTGTGTGTGTGTGTGTGTGTGTGTGGCCAGCTCAGCCCGCCAGGGGGCGGGGCTGGCTGGCATGTGGTGCTGTGCTTTGCTAAGCTTGTTCTAAGTAGGTGCTTTAGACCACTAAGCCATCTCTGCTTTAGACCACTAAGCCGTGGTCCCTGTGCTTTGCTAAGCTTGTTCTAAGTAGGTGCTTTAGACCACTAAGCCATCTCACCAGCCTAAGCACATAAATTTTTAAAGATTCTTTTTTTTTAATCTTTATGAGATGGTTTCACTATGGAGTTCAGGCTGGTATTGAACTCACTCTGTAGCCCAAGCTGGCCTCAAACTCCCAGCAGTCCTCCTGCCTCAGCCTTCTGAGTTCTGGGTTTACAGGTGTGCACCACCACCACACTCACCAAGAGATTCATGATTTTAAAGTTTAGTAACTGGTCAGCTTCCTGTTGCTGTGACAAAAATGCCTGAGAAAAACAGAGAAGAAAATTTTATTTTGGCCTACAGTTTCAAAGGTTCCAGTCCATGGTTGCTTGGCTGTATTGTTTCTGTGCCTGTGATGAGGCATATGACAGAAGGGCACAGGTGGGCCACAGCTGCTTACCTCAGGGTGACCAGGATTGGGGAGCATGCAGGAAGAAAATATACCTCTCCAGGGCACACTGCTCGAGACTTAAATCCTCTGACCAGGCCCACCCCCTGCAGGTTCTACCACCTCTCAATTCTCTATTCAGTCATGAACCCATCAATGGATTAGTCCATTGATGAGATCAGAGCCCTTATGATCCAGTCACTTCCCCAAAATCCTACCTCTGAGCATTGCTGCACTAGGAGCAAAGTCTCCAATGCAAGAGCCTTTGGGGAATGTTCCAGATCTACAGTGTAACAGTAACTGTGCTCTGATGTTTCCTTGTTATACTTAAGAAATACTGTGATGAGATGAGTAGAGCCTTTGTTGGAAGAGAGGAGGAGGAGATCCAGTGCTGTACTGGTTTCTATTAGAATAAGCTCCAAATGCTTGTCTCAGTCTCTCTAGACCCTCAAACATGAATTATAACACATACCTTAGCACCTTCACCAGACCTTGTCTCAAAAGTTAAAGGGCAAAAAAAAAAAAAAAAAGTTAAAGGGCTTGGGATGTGGTTCATATGAAGGCCCTGGATTCAATGCCCATTAGTACCCTTGAGTCTGAAATAGAATAGTAAAATCCTACAACAAAAAGAAAATTCCACTGGGGTTCAATCCCTGGCACCACATGCCGTGCCAGCCCAGCCCCCAGAGCACACTGACACAGTGACTGAGCCTGGGCGTGGCAGTGCAAGCCTGTAATCCCAGCGCTTGGGAGGCTGAAAACAGAGGGATCACTACAAGTCCAATCTGTGTAGTGAGATCCTGTAGACCCTGTACTAAATACATTTAAAAAAAAAGAAAAAAGAAAAAAAATTCCAAGAAATTTCTATGCTGGAGACTGAGGGACTCTACTTTGTTGGGTTTTTTGCTTTTGGGGTTTTTTTTGGTACCAGGGATTGAACTCAGGACCTTGAGCTTGCCAGGCAGGCCTTTATTCTACTGAGCTACCTCCCAGTGTTGTAACTCAAAAATCAGATGACAATGAGGCAAGTCCAAAAGTTAAAGAAGCACTTTATTTTAGCTGGTACCCAGCGGCAGACACCCCCGCAAGATGCTGAGGTGCGCGCCCAGGAGGGGAGAGACAAGGGTTTTTAAGGCTGAAAACCGCAAAGGGGAGGTCTTATGATTTGAGTGCAAGGGAATGCAGCACAGGAGTCAGCGTCCACTTTCGGGAAAATAGATTACATACAATTTTTAGGAACAAATAATTACACTTTATGGTTCGGTGTTGATCACAGGACATATTGTGTGGAGTATTCTGGGGTAAAAATAGTTCAGATCTCAACCTCTGACACACTGTGGTTTAGAACAAAGGAATGGTTTGAACATTAACAAACTGTGTTCAGAGGTCGGATGAATGGCTGGAGCCATCAAGATGGAGTTTAAGTTGTCAGCTTATACCAAACAATCCTCATTAATAAAGTTACAGTGGACATGTACAGAAATGTATAATACAATGCCCATTCTGGTTACAAAATGGAGTGGGTATTTAAGCCAATAAACCATAAAAGCTGACCTCAAGGATTTATCTTGGAGCTACAGTTGAAAAATTACCTGTTTCTAATGAACAATAACAAGTGCAGTGGTGGGTACAGTTTGTAGTTGGGAACGAGGGCGAGATCAGGGCATTGGGCCGAAACTAGATTCAGGTGCGCACAAAAGGGCAGCGTGAGAAAGGCCCAACTGCAGGTTCTCAAGTAGAGAATGGGCACAGTGGGAAGTTACAGCATTTAGAATGGCGCATACAGAACAAGATGGCGGCGCATATGTCAGGTTGTAACAGTTAATAAAGTCACAGTGGAAGCACACAGAGTTACAAAATTGGAATCAATTGCACAGGCTATAACACCCAGCCCCAGGGACTCTACTTTGTAAAAACACATTTTCTCCCCAGAACCTTCCTGTAATTTTAATTGCTACAATGTCTGGCCAGGTGTAGTGCTGGATACCTGTAATCCTAGCACTCACCTGTAATCCTAGCACTCGGGAAGTTGAGGCAGGAAAACTACCGTGAGTTTGAGACAAGTGAGAGCTACCTAAGAGTTCAAAGCCAGTTTGAACTGCACAGGGAGACCTTGTCTCAAAAAGAAAAGTAAAATAAAATAAAACTATCTGAACTGGACTTGGGAGACAGCAATGCCAGTGATAACTGGTTTTTTTGTTTTGTTTTGTTTTGTTTTGTTTTTGCAGGGCCAGGGATTGAACTCAGGCCCTTGCACTTGCCAGGGAAGCTCTTATTCCACTGAGCCACCTCCCCGGCCCCCCCTACCAGTGATACTTTGTTAAAAAGTATTTTTATACTCCTGACTCTGTGGAATTAATAATAACAATAAGTGTTATCATTTATTCAGTTTTCTAGGTATCAGTACAGTGTAAATTTTTTCATACAGTCCCTACAGCAGTGTTAAGACATCTACATAAAGTAGGTAAGCAGCTTGCCCAAGACCTTGTTAATAAATGGGTCATCTCAATGGTTCCTCTGTTCATGAACTTCATTCTTTTCAGGATTCTGGTTGTGAATCAGATTTCCCCCTAAGGTCAACATTAAACATAGTCAGTGAATTAGAGTCTTGTCTAGTTTGGTTTGTGACCAGTATTGTGGAATAGATGAAGTTTGTGAACTGAAATACTGCTGTTCTCAAGTCCGGATCCCTGGACTTCAAGGCTCATGCTCTTCATTGGATGTGTCTGACCATGAGTTTCTCCGCAGTGTGAAACTCAAGGGCTCCTCCTATAGCCATCCTATTTGACTTTGGAGCATCCACGCAAATGATTGGTTGGCAGCTCTGACTTGGAGGAGGAGCCCCAGGGGATGGACTTACTTTTTGCTTTTGTTTTGTTTTCCTTTGTTGCCAGGAAGGAATAGGATCTCACTGTGTAGCTCAGGCTGGCCTAGAGCTCACAGCAGTCCTCTTGCCTCAGCCTCCCAACTACTGGGATTACAGGAATGCAGCACCATGCCCTGCTCTTGCTCTTCAAGAGAAGATTTT